TGAAGAGATGGTCCTGCAGGAGAAAGGAGCTCCTGTTTGCAGATCCTGAAGATTATTAAAAGAGGCTGTTAGACTGTCAATGTTTTGATAGGGAACCAGAGTGGAGAGGTCACATGAGGGCCGTTAAGTTTGAGGATAAAATCAGTGGAGAACACATGAGTAAATATGAAGTGAGGCAGAATAAATGGCTTCTCCCTTATGGTTCTGTTTTTTCCCTGGAAAATGAAGTCCCTTAAGCTAAATACACTGGACTTTTGTTCACTTGACAACACCCGTTTTTCGTAGTTATTGTAGTAACCACCCCTGACTGAACAGAGATGGAACAAACTCTCGCAGCCATCACAACAACTGGCTGAAATGGCCTCAGAGGAATCGCTGCCAATGCTGGCAGCAGACAAACTGCTGACTGACTCAGAGGTCCAAATGTTGGCGTGTAACGAGACTGTGAAACACCCAGTGGCTCTCTCCTCTCCTATTTGCATATTTATGGATGGGAGCTGATTCAGTGTGACACAACCAAACACACACACTGCTGCAGCTACAACCAGAGGCTTTTGTACCTTGTCAGAAAGTGATTAAACAAAAGTAAGTGTTAAATTTGAGGATGACAGAGATTCTATTCAATTTTTCACATAATAGCTGCAAACAGACTATGTGGTGCCTTATGAAGTATTCACACTTTCTCATATATTTTAATGTTACAACCACAAAGATATGAAAGGTTCTGTCACCCCAGGTCTGGTTCTTGGTTCTGATGGCGGAGACAGAAAGTTGGCATCAGAGGAGCGGAAAACCTGTAACACTGGAACTGGAATGTAATTGAATTAACATTCCAGAATAAAAATAAACCAACAAGTACAAGCAACAAATAAAACAGAAACAAAAACCACACACACCCAAAGCCATAAATAAAATTAATTATGACGTTTCTGTGAACAAAATTGACCTTCAAAAAATGTTAATCATCAGAATGGAAATTACTGTGCTCATTTTAATTTACTATGTTCATTGGTTAATTAATTTATTAATTGCTTGTTGCTGTGTTCTACTCTTCCATAAATGTCAGATTCCAGGAGTGCATAATTAGTAGTAGCATAACCCAGATCCTCTCTGATAAATCCTTTCCTGATCTATTAGTTCATTTGAACGGCCATGTTGTGTTTGGTTTGACTGATCAGTGCTATGTGAACTGTTTAAAGATTAGGATGCAGCTTTATAACCTAACCACGCTTTAAAGTTCTCCACAATGTTAATCCCACGTGTCTGCTGTATCCTTGGACTTCATAATGCTGTTTTCAAACACATCGACCTTAATTTGTAATTAGGTAACTTTGAAAATAATTAGATCCACTGGATTTAATTTAAGAGAAAAGGATTTTAAATACATGAGCATGACATTTTTTCAGTTTCTTTGTACCCAGTATAGAAAACATTGACTCTATTAGTTAATCTCTGAAAACCACCTGTGGTGATCAAATTTAAACTGCTGGAATATTTTCACCATGCAACAGATTCTGCTGGCTTACTCTTATCCTTTCAATGACTCAGTTCCAAAGCATTAATTATACTTTTAGGTCTGAGTGACAGATTGATTTTATTCACCCCAAGAGGGGGGAATGTGGTTCCTCTATGCACTCACAGCAAAGAAAACAAAAGCACAGGCAATAACAAGGTCTATTTTAAGCCTCTTAAAAACAAAAACATACCTGTCTAATAAATTCTAAGCTCCACGCTGCGAAGGACTTAGGAAATGTTTTCCTCAGCCTACAATTGGGAAAAAGCAGAAGTAAGATTTGTAGTGACATGGTTTATTCTGGGTTTTTTACTATTTCTAGTATTGGAAAAGATCTTAAATTAACCACAGGCAATAGTTATTTTATCATAATTTCTTAATTAAATCCACACCTATGCATGAACGTTAGCCCAAAAGCATTTATGGCTGTTTTCAAACTAAGATCATAATTTTATGCTTGGCAGCAGCAGTAAAAACAGAACACATTGTTCTCTTATATTAGAGCAAAGGCACTTAAAGTGCCTTTAAACATTGGTAAATCCCAGTGTTTAATCCATAAATCCTATGACGTGTTGTGGTTTACATGTCATGGAAAGGCAAATACAGGAATTTGTTTTGAATTAGTCAGTACTGGAATGCATGCCAATCAAGTACAGTTCTTCTAAATAGCAGCATTTCTCTTGGTAATCTATCGATGAATCTGCAGAATAATTTCAGTTCATGACATAAACCTTCTCAACAGGAGGCTGCAACATAATTACAAAAAGCCTAAAATCATTGTTCTACTTAAAAGACTATAAACGCAATGGCTGAATCGCTGAAATACATCAATTCCATCCATCCATCCATTTTCTAACACCCTTGTCTCTAGTGGGGTGAGGAGGTGCTGGTCTCCAGCTAACGGTCACTTCACCTTGGAAATTGAGGAATTGTAATTCTACTCTACTTTTTTATCCACAGTGTTACTAGAGTTATAAAGCTGTCACATTTTTGTGAAAGTTTCTCAGTAGCGGTCGATATTGGTCACATGTGCATTAGCCCAGAAAGGGGTGGGAGTATCAATGAGGAAACATATGAAATATATAATTATATGTATCTATCAGTTAGGCCCTGAACAAATTAATTTAATGCAGGAGAACATCTAGTGAACAAGTCTCCTGATTGCTAAGTTTTCTGATTGTTAGCTCACATGCGTTTTGTGGTTATGTACTGCGGCCCTTGGATCGTGTTTCTTTTCAACTTTTTTGCATTCAGTGGTTATTTGTTCGAAATAAAATTTGATTAAATTGTTAATTCATTCAATATGTTATGAACTCATGATTCAATTGTAGGGTTTCTTGTCTTTAGTCAAAAAAGTCTATTGTTTGAAGGACTATGCAGTAGATTGTACAAGAGTAGCAAAGAAATCATTGCTTCACATGACAATACTTTGTTTCTCTTTTAGGAACTTCTTTTTGTTTCAAATATTTAAAAATAGCAGCGCTTTTAAGATCTGAGGTTTTCACACATTTGCTCTTGTTCACAGAATGAACTTAGTTCATTTCTGTCCCCACCTGAAGACACAAATGCTGTCTCTGTTTCTTTGTCTCAGCTTCTTTATGTTTTCTTACATAAATATTTTGGAGCCATAATTCTGCCAAACAGCCATCCAAAATATGGCTATCCAAAATCTATTATGTCTTCTCAGTCGTCTCATGGGAACAATAAGAACCAGTGCACACTGTGTTATATATTGCCCTCATACATTTTATTATCATTCATAAAATTCTCTGCGGCCTAGCACACTGAGCAAAACCCTCTGAAGAAAAATGAGATAGTCTCGGCTGGATTCGTGTCACAGGGTTTTCACGACAAATGAAGGCGCAGATTAGGAGGAAAGCAGACACTCCCGCACAGAAAGCCTGATGCTGGGATCCAGATAATCCCAGGGTTTCAAAGGTATTTGCTGAGATTCCTTGATTTGCTCAAGCCTCTTCAGAGTTAATAACCTTCACCTACTTTAAACCATATGACTGGGCGAGCATAAATTAAACCTCATGTAACAAACAGTCTATTTTGCTTCTTGTTCATGTTATATTTATTCAAGTGTTAACAAGTTGCAAAGTTGTTTAGTTTTAGAAGTACCTTTGTTTCCTTTGTTTGAATGCAGTCCAAGGTCTTTCATTAATTTCCTTTAAAGCATCTAGAGGTGTCCGGGTCATTACCCAAGGGCAGGACATCAGGGATCTTCTTTCTCTGCATACTGATTTCTCTCAGTGCAAAACCTCCAACAAACAAACTCCAATGATCTCAGTTTTAACCCACTGATCAGCCAGTTTGTTCGAGGATGATTAATTTGATCAAAACTGGAATCATGACTGTACTTATTGAATTAAAAAAGGGTTCTCCTTAGTGTGTTAGTAGCAGCGCAGCAGATCATGAGAAGAAGAGCTTTTCTGTCAAAGCCGAAACAACTGGGGTAAAAAGCATGTCTTTTTGATGGTTTCATTCTGAAAGTAGATGAGATTTTTAACCCAAAATCTCATAGAAAACTGTTTCATCTGGCAACAGATTATTTGTAATAAAAAGCAATGTGTCAAAAATAATTTACATAATTCTCTATGAATAACTTGCAAGTCATACTACAGCATCCAAAAGGTTCACATAATTGCTGACAAGTGTTGTGGATCTTTCCACTGGATTCTTCACCGTTCATCTGCTGCAACGAGCTTCAAGTCTTTGAGTTTGGAAGGCCTCCTTGCCATCACCATAATCTTTACTTTCCATGAACGATTCTCTCATGAATTCAATTCTGGAAGTTCAAAACATAAAAGTTACAACCAGTCAAGAGAAAAAAAGAAAAAAAAACTGGGTGAGATTGAACAATTACTTATTGCTTAAATCTGCTATGGTTATGAATAATTTTGGGCTTATATGTTCATACAGGGGTTGTTTTTTTTGCATCTTAACCTTTGCTACTGATGTTAAGAAGACAAGTTTTAGTTTAAATTATTTTGTAGACCCTGGATTGCAAACATATGCACATCAAAATTAGTAAACAAAAAAAATGCTTTGGATTTTTTTTTTCTTGATACTGAACAAAAACAAAACAAAAAACCCAGAAGATCTGACCACTTAGCAATTCCACACCCATATTCTGCCCAAACACAATCAGATTTCAGTAATGTCCCATGTCAACAAAACTGATTTTGTGGTTTCAAAGTGCAATGGTGAATCATATTTCCTCTGACAAAATAGCAATCAGCGTAAAACCGCACATTTTTCAAGGAAGCTGTGACAAAACATTTGGTTGTTTCAGTCAGACAAGATGGAAAACAACGGTGGAAACAGAGATAAGAAAAAAAATAATAAATGTAGTTTTCTGCTGCATTCAGAAGCAAAAGATAAAAGTAAACTTCCATTGTATGGAGAGCTTTGAAATAACAATGTCTGTTCAGTAGAGTAGAAGAGTCCTTTATTCTGTTAGATTTACATTCAGGTCCTTTAAGGAAATACTTCATTAATTGGCCAATAGAAAGAAGAAATCTGAATCTTGCACTGTCCTGTTCAAATGGTCAACCTGCTTAGTGATATGATTAAATATCACTGAATAGATGTCATGTGAGGATATCTGGTTGAAACCTTGAATCAAGAGCACTGCAAGCCTGCATTAGAGAAACAGATAAGAGGGCAGAGAAACACCCCAGAGAAACCAACTCCTCAGAACAAACCTGCAAAATTATAGTTACTGAATAACAAAAAGTGTTTGCCTAATGGAAATGTTTTAAGGCTTACTAGTGGGTGGAAACAAAAATGAAGAGAAGAAGTATAAAGTTTCTGAGGATTTCCATTTCAAATTGTTGCGTATCTTGCGTGTGATGATGCTGACCTGTGTCCTTTCATTACATTCACATTTATGTTACTTGCTGATGGCAAATGTCACTCCAAGTTTCACGATCAATCAGCACAATGAGCGTCAAGAGCTTTCCTCTTGGTTGCTTCTTCGTAATGTTTGCTGTGACCTCCTCCTTCCTCATGAGTTCATTGCCTGTGATCTCCTTGTAAATGTGCAGTCACACCGCAGAGAAAACTTTAAGTGGGTGACTTAAGGAGTGGCACTACTGCATAATATTTAGAACCACAAAAATTCATTACTTCAGGAAAGAAATATGGTCTGCCTTCAGCTAACTATGGAAAAATGTGTCAAAGTTTACAGATTTAATTTATCTTCATAAAAATGTTTTGCATGTAATATAGGCAGATAAATTTTTTGGTCAAGATCTAATCTAACTTAAATGACCATATCTCAAAATTAAGTTTAAGGTGGATTTTTATGTGATTTCTTTAAACAAAAGAAACACAAAAACATAATAAAACACAAACTTACTGTTTATTTTTCCTCTGAATGATGTTGATGTTCGATATGATCAGAATTGCAAAGTATAAATCAGTTGTACTGCATGTATATATGATATATAAGGGCTGACAGGATCCCGTCGCTGCTTTCTGCAGATCTTAACACCTGGACAGATTTGTGCTTAATGTCACAAATGGCAGTTTGAGAGCTGGCTAGAAAACTTTGCTCTTATATTAGTAATATATGACAGGTTTCTGCAAAAAAAGAAAAAGGGAAGAACAATTGATAGACAATGGAGCAAGTGTATTTTTTGCTTTTCCCTGCTAGAAAATCCAATTTATGTTTCAAAACTCCAAGCATGAAACATGATATGAATAATTAATTGGCACTAATGTTGGTCTGAAAATAGTCCGGTCTCAACATGGCGGCTGGCGTGACGATGGGAGGATATTGAGTATTGGATTGCGTCTCTCATTGCCAAAACTGTTTGGTGGGTCAGCATCTTTTCAAGAACCTGACACATCAAAATAAAGAGGCTGTTCAAGGTTGAGCAAACAACAGAGTGCAAGCTCCCTTCATAAGTGATTGATATTGTTAAAAGCTTTTTTAAAAAATGGCATGATTAATAGATTACTGAGTAAAAACAAATGTAAAAATTTAAGCTTTTAAGACTCCTGCTGTAATTTTCTCCTTCGTCTCCCAAGATATCCAAAAGATTACAACATCAGCAGTCCCTGCAGGCTCACTTTTTTGTGACATTAATTGCACTAGCTGCCTTTAATAAGTCAAGCTGTGTGAAGGTAAAGACAGGGGAAAGGGAATACTCTTTACGACCCACTTGGACCTGCTGGCTGCTCAGATGCTGCTCATATAAAAATATGAGACATCATTAGTGCCTTTATAAAGTATTCATGCCCTCTTACAGTTTCATATGTGTCAGTGAAACTGGAAACCTGAAAGAACGAAAATCTAAGGTGATGAATCAACAAAAGGAGCTGACGACTGACATGCTCTTCAAATGTTTGGCTTGCGTTTTTATTCACTCTCATGTAATCTAAATAAAATCCTTCGATACAAATCGGGCTGTTATGTGAATGTCTCAGAGGTTTGTAGATGGATGGTGATGCAAAATAAAGTCATCCTGAATGATAAGTCGCTAAAGGCAACAAAAGCCTTGCAACTGCAGCAGAGGCTCATCTTTGCACGAAAACAATCCGAAACACACAGCCGCAGCTACACAGACATGATTAAAGGGTGTTCAAGTCCAGACCTTACTTCAGATGAGATTTTGTGGCATGAGTTTTATACGAGTTTGAGATGGTCTGCTCTCAAAGTGGACAAACATTCAGGTGATTTAACTATTTTTGTATAGCATTGTAAAAAAAACGAAACAATTGAACAAAGAGAACTGAATGTCATTCTGCTATAAGACAAACTATAAAATTCAATCAGAGGAAATTTTTTTCTTTTTTTCTATTTAAAAAAAACAACAAAACAAATCCCGTCCATGATTCCTTACTTACCATCAGGTTTTTTTGACCCAGAGCTGAGGTTAAGAATGTGAAAGTGTTGATGTCTCCTGTGTTTTCTCTCCAGCCTCCACTTCCCTCAGACCTTAGTGGGCTTATCTTTTTCTGTGAAGATAAACCAGGATGTGATACACTGAGAGCGGCTGCTGATTTATAAAGAGTATCGCCTGCTGGAACAGTCTCTGGGATGTGGATAATTCATCTTTGTAAGCACCATAACAAAAGACTTATTATTTATAATAATAGAGAGGTGCAGCTTCACAGCAGACAAAGCTGCAATAATGAGCCAATTAAGAAAAAATAATTATTCTAGTAATTTAGTTATTAGAGGAGAGAGGCATTGGGTTGACACATTTGAATGATTTCAGTCTTTATACCTTGTGGTTTTAGTGGGAGCTGCTTTTTAAATACCCAAGGGAGAGTTGCTGGAGTAAAGTAAAAAAAAAAAAAAATGAAGTAAAATAATTCACACGCTCCTGCTTCTTCATTCAGGGCTCTCATCGGCTCTGCAGGAAAGGTAACAGCAGAGATTTTTTTTTTCCTTTTACCTCTTTCTGTCTGAGCTCTGGACGTTCACTCCCTGCAGCCTCGGCAAGTGAAGCTACTAAAAATATCTCGAGCCAGAGTCTGACTGCCGTTTTAAATTAATTCACTCCAACTAAGTTCTTAGGTGTACAGCTCTTTGCCAAAAGACTCTCCGTCTCAACTTAAATGGTAATAAGGATGCAGCAGACAATCAAATAGACGCAGCTGACATCCGTTGCACCTTGCAGTAGAATGAGGCTGACTGCTAATTTTATAGCTTTAAAAATATATTTCTGCTTATATAACGTCTGATTTCATCAGGAACGTTCTAAAGAAAGGCAGTTGTTTTTGCAGACTCTTTGCTGGCAAATTAGGGACATGCATGCTCTGTTTTACTGTCATCGCTCAAGCGAATGTTTTATGTTTGGCGGAGCGAAATGAAAGTATTTTTGAGGAACTGCACCTTAAAAGCTCAAGAACAGTCACTCCACTTCCTCCTGGTTTGAAAATGCAGCTATTTTTGTAATCTACAGGGGATCTTTGCTACAGACTCCGGAGAATAAAACAAACAGGCTCTTGCTAGCACAACCCTCTGAAGGTATTAATATTTTACTGTTTAAGAGCAACACCAACATTTAAGACTTGCAGGTTGACAGTCAATCTTAAGGCTCAACACAAGAGGACCTTGCAGCTTCTAGGAAGAATTATATCTAACTGTGTTGTTTACAAATGCTAAAAGAGCTAATCTGTATAATCTATCATCAGTATGCATCTAAGTTCAGCTAATATAGGACTGGATCAATAACACAACTCCATCCACACTTGATCAGATACTATTGATAGTCTTCATTGTGTGTTTAATGAAGCGGGCCTGTTCCAGCTCCTCAGCTCATTATTTTGAAACAGGCAAAGCTAATAGCTCATGTGACACCTGCAGTTTGTGAAACAGGCTTTCTCTGATGTTTGTATGCTTGTGGTTTTGTTGGTTTTTATTATTTATTCCCACTAATCTTACACAGCTCTTTTCAGCTTCTGTTGAAGAAGCTCCAGGACCAGAGAGGCCCCTCCACAGAGTTAGTGCTGCACTAAAAAGGCTCCCAGTAAGAAAACATTTAATCTCAAGTCATCAGCTGCTGTCTAAATGAGCCTCGTATGAACTCGAGGGTTGCAAAATGTATGAAGAGATTTTTTTATTTAAAAAAAACTGAATAATTTCGACAACTTTACTTTTTATTGAACCTATATTTTGATTATCATCTTATCTTACTCCTTTTAAATGTTTACATATTCAAAGACTGTCATGACTGCATCTTAACATTGTTTATTTAACATCCATCTGTTGTGAAACGCTCATCCGGGGCCAGAAGCCTAAGCAGAGATGCCCAGGTGAAATCCCAAGGCGTTCAGGCAAGAGACACAATCCATCCAGCATGTCCTGGGTCTCATCCAGGTAGGACGTCCCCGTAGCATACTGATGACTTCCTAATCAAAACCCCCCGAATCCTCAACTGGCTCCTCTCAATGTGGAAAAGCAGCAGCTCTACTTCAGAAGCGCTGCTGCTAAGCTACATGGTAACACCTTATTTGAAGGGGCTGCATAAGACTGATATGACGCTGACATAAATATGACATAACACCCACTATGAACATGAAGGAGTGGTCATGAGTTTTTGTACTAAATTTGTACTAAAACTTGCATTCAAAGTCCATTAAAATTGTCATCTTTGCACTAAACGTGTCATCATTTGCCGAATGACACTTCATGACAACAATCAGAGATTCATGAAGACTCCTTCATGTTCATAACAGGTGTAATGTCATATTTATGACAGTATTATGTTGGTCTTATGCACATCCCTTCAAATAAAGTGTCACCAAATACATTAATGGAAATCCTTCTTTTGTATAAACTCTCAGAACAGGGTGTTAAGACTTCAGAGGGAATGTCAGCAGTCATCTCACTCATTAACAAGAACAGCAATTATCACACAGTGGAGTCACGATGATGCCTGCAGTTCATTTGAATGACAGATTGGCACTGCAGCTATAAGTCAATACAAAGGGTAGCACTATGCAACCATCCTGCAACATTAAGAAACCAAATCTCTGCAAGACTTCACAATGTTAAAGCTTTAGTACAAACATAAAAAAGAAGACGCTTGGAGATTAAATGATGTCATGACATTAGCAGATGAACTGTGAGATAATGGCTCTTTTAAATTTTAAAGCGGATTACCATGCAGCACATCTTCCAAGAAGAAGATGAAGCAGATCTGAAATCAGAAAGGCAATGTCCCAAAATATTTCATTAAATCCACCAAGAGCTTGCTTAGAGAGAGTTAAAGCTGAAATCTTGATCTCATTGAGATACTGTGAGAGGATCTGAAACAGGTTGTACCATCACCAGGCTACGTGCAAAACTCACTGAACTAGCAGCAAAAGAAGATGAAAAAAAATTTCACGAAGCTAAAAACATAAATTCAGTCCTACCTTTGCCGTTTTGTGGTGGAAATCCATGTTAGAGTAAATATTTCCACTCAGGTGCTGTAATCTATTCTTCTTCTGTCACACTGATGTGATTTCTCACTATTTGGGGCCTGCAATAGAAATGTATGGCAGACACCTATTGTTCTTCACCTCGAAATTACTGCCGCTTCCTACTACCGTTAATGTGACCAATACCACTGCGTGCCCCCTCGTCAACTTGTCGAGCACTTTGCTGCACATTCTTCTCCCCTTCTTTGATGTCGTGGAAAAATTTTTGGGGATTGTAAGACCTTCTGTCATCCTCTCTATCATCTTGTGGATAAGGGCACTTTCCTCTTCGCCATCCTTCCTTCCTTCCTTCCTTCCGTCCATCCTTCCTTCCTTCTTTCCTTCCATCCATCCTTCCGTCTGTCTGTCCATCCATCCTTCCTTTCTTCTGTTCTTTCTTCCTTCCATCCATCCATCCAACCATTCATCCATCCATCCATCCATCCGTCCGTCTTTCAGTCCTTCCTTCCATCCATCCTGCCTTGCTTCCTTCCTGTCTTCCGTCCTTCCTTACGTCCATCCGTCCTTCCTTCCTTCCAACCATCCATTGTTCCTTCCATTCTTTGTTCCATTGTTCCATCCTTCCTTCTGTTCGTCATCCCTACGTCCTTCCTTTTTTTCTTACTTTTTTCCTTCCTTCCTTCCAGCCGTCTGTCCTTCCATCCTTCCTTCCTGCCTTCCTTCCTTCCATCCATACGTCATTCCTGGCTTTATTCCGTCCTTCATTCCGTCCGTCCGTCCGTCCATCCATCTGTCCATCCATCCTTTCTTCCTTCCTTCCATCCTTTGTTCCTTCCATCCATCCATCCATCCATCCATCCATCCATCTTTCAGTCCTTCCTTCCATCCATCCTTCCTTGCTTCCTTCCTTTCTTCCGTCCTTACTTACGTCCTTCCTTCCTTCCAACCATCCATTGTTCCTTCCATCCTTTGTTCCATTCTTCCTTCCATCCATCTTTCCTTTTTTTCTTCCTTTTTTCATTCCTTCCAGCCGTCCGTCCTTCCATCCTGCCTTCCTTCCATCTGTACGTCAACCCTTGCTTCATTCCGTCCTTCCTTCCGTCCGTCCATCCATCTGTCCTTCCATACTTTCTTCCTTCCATCTTTCGTTCCTTCCTTCCTTTGATCCTTCCTTCCATCCATCCATCCATCCATCCATCCATCCATCCTTCAGTCCTTCCTTCAATCTATTCATCCATCCTTCCTTCCATCCTTTATTCCTCCCTTCCTTCCATCCTTTGTTCTACCCTTCCTTCCGTCCGTCCATCCCTCCGTCCGTCCTTCCTTTTTTTCCTTCCTTCCTTCCGTCCGTCCATCCTTCCTTCCATCCATCCAAAGTTCCTTCTGTCCTTCCTTCCTTCCATCCATCCAGCCTTCCTTCCATCCTTTGTTCCATCCTTCCTTCCGTCCGTCCATCCCTCTGTCCGTCCTTCCTTTCTTTCTTCTTTCCTTCCTCCCTTCCGTCTGTCCGTCCATCCTTCCTTCCATCCATCCAGACTTCCTTCCTTCCGTCCATCCGTCCTTCCTTCCTTCCTTCCATCCGTCCAGCCTTCCATCCTTTGTTCCATCCTTCCATTAGTCCATCCATCCCTCCGTCCTTCCTTTCTTTATTCCTTCCTTCCACCCATCCGTCTTTCCTTCCTTCTGTCCGTCCTTTCTTCCTTCCTTCCTTTCTTCTTTCCGTCCTTCCGACCAGGAGACATCCTGACCAGATGCCAGAACCACCTCAACTGGCTTGTGGAGGAGCAGTGGCTCTAGTCTGAGTCCCTCCCGAATGACTGAGCTTCTTATCCTATCTCTAAGGAAAAGACCAGCCATCCTATGGAGGAAACCCTTTTCGGCCGCTTGTATCCGCGATCTTGTTCTTTCGGTCATGACCCAAAGCTCCTGACCCTAGATGAGTGCAGGAACATAAATCGACTCAGCAAATCTGTTCCCAACATTTGAACCACTGAGTTATTGGTTAATATGAACTAATGCTGTTCTCAAACCAAACTGCTACAGCATTATTATCAGGCCTGTAACAACCACAACAAGAATCGAAGTGGCATATCCCGCAACTTCTGCTGTACACAGCTTTTTGCGTAGGCTGTTCTCAAAGCCTTTAAAGGCCTTCTGCATTTGTTCTTTCAGCAGCTCGCTCATCTTGGCACTGACCTGTTCATCCTTTGTTGTCAGCAGGTTCTTCAGCTGCGACATGCTGTGCGTCTCCGTCAACTTGTCGAGCACATTCTTGCTGTACATTCTTCTCCGCTTTTTTGATGTCGTGGAAAAATTTTTGGGAATTGTAAGACCTTCTGTCATCCTCTCTACCATCTTGTGGATGAGGGCACTTTCCTCTTCGCCATCCTTCCTTCCTTACTTCCGTCCGTCCGTCCTTCCTTCCTTCCATCCATCCAGCCTTCCTTCCATCCTTTGTTCCATCCTTCCTTCCGTCCGTCCATCCCTCCGTCCTTCCTTTCTTTTTTCTTCCTTCCTTCCATCCATCCTTCCTTCCATCCTTTGTGCCATGCTTCCTTCCTTCCGTCCGTCCATTCCTCTGTCCGTCCATCCCTCTGTCCGTCCATCCCTCCATCCATCCTTCCTTCCGTCCGTCCATCCCTCTGTCCGTCCTTCCTGTCTTTCTTCCTTCCATCTTTTCTTCCTTCCTTCTGTCTGTCCTTCCCTCCTTCCTTCTTTCTTTCCTTCCGTCCGTTGGTCCATCCGTCCTTCCTGTCTTTCTTCCTTCCATCTTTCCTTAACTCCGTCCGTCCTTCCATCCTTCCTTCCTTCTTTCTTTCCTTCTTGCATCCGTCGGTCCATCCGTCCTTCCTTCTTTCCTTCCATCCATCCAGCCTTCCTTCCATCCTTTGTTCCATCCTTCCTTCAGTCCGTCCATCCCTCCGTCCTTCCTTTCTTCCTTCCTTCCATCCACCCGTCTTTCCCTCCTTCCGTCCGTCCATCCCTCTGTCCGTCCATCCCTCCATCCATCCTTCCTTCCGTCCGTCCATCCCTCCGTCCGTCCTTCCTGTCTTTCTTCCTTTCATCTTTCCTTCCTTCCATCTGTCCTTCCCTCCTTCCTTCCTTCCTTCTTTCTTTCCTTCCGTCGGTCCGTCCTTCCTTTTTTCCTTCCTTCCATCCATCCAGCCTTCCTTCCATCCTTTGTTCCATCCTTCCTTCAGTCCATCCATCCCTCCGTCCTTCCTTTCTTCCTTCCTTCCTTTCTTTCTTCTTTCCATTTTTCAGACCAGGAGGCATCCTGACCAGATGCCAGAGCCACCTCAATTGGCTTGTGGAGGAGCAGTGGCTCTAGTCTGAGTCCCTCCCGGATGACCCTCCCGGCTAAGCTTCTTACCTATCTATAAGGAAAAGACCAGCCATTCTATGGAGGAAACCCTTTTCGGCCGCTTGTATCCGCGATCTTGTTCTTTCGGTCATGACCCAAAGCTCCTGACCCTAGATGAGTGCGGGAACATAAATCGACTCAGCAAATCTGTTCCCAACATTTGAACCACTGAGTTATTGGTTAATATGAACTAATGCTGTTCTCAAACCAAACTGCTACAGCATTATTATCAGGCCTGTAACAACCACAACAAGAATCGAAGTGGCATATCCCGCAACTTCTGCTGTACACAGCTTTTTGCGTAGGCTGTTCTCAAAGCCTTTAAAGGCCTTCTGCATTTGTTCTTTCAGCAGCTCGCTCATCTTGGCACTGACCTGTTCATCCTTTGTTGTCAGCCGGTTCTTCATCTGCGACATGCTGTGCGTCTCCGTCAACTTGTCGAGCACTTTGCTGCACATTCTTCTCCGCTTCTTCGATGTCGTGGAAAATTTTTTGGGGATTGTAAGCTCTTCTGTCATCTTCTCTACCATCTTGTGGATGAGGGCACTTTCCTCTTCGCCATCCTTCCTTACTTTCGTCCGTCCGTCTGTCCTTCCTTCCTTCCATCCATCCAGCCTTCCTTCCATCCTTCCTTCCGTCCGTCCATCCTACCGTCCTTCCTTTCTGCCTTCCTTCTTTCCTTCCATCCACCCGTCTTTCCTTCCTTCCGTCCGTCCTTTCTTCCTTCCTTTCTTTCTTCTTTCCGTCCTTCCGACCAGGAGGTATCCTGACGAGATGACAGAGCCACCTCAACTGGCTTGTGGAGGAGCAGTGGCTCTAGTCTGAGTCCCTCCCGGATGACTGAGCTTCTTACCCTATCTCTAAGGAAAAGCCCAGCCATTCTATGGAGGAAACCCTTTTCGGCCGCTTGTATCCGCCATCTTGTTCTTTCGGTTATGACCCAAAGCTCATGACCCTAGATGAGTGCAGGAACATAAATCGACTCAGCAAATCTGTTCCCAACATTTGAACCACTGAGTTATTGGTTAGTTTGACCTAATGCTGTAACAGTTCAGTTGTCAAACCAAACTGCTACAGCATTATTATCAGGCCTGTAACAACCACAACAAGAATCGAAGTGGCATATCCCGCAACTTCTGCGGTACACAGCTTTTTGCGTAGGCTGTTCTCAAAGCCTTTAAAGGCCTTCTGCATTTGTTCTTTCAGCAGCTCGCTCATCTTGGCACTGACCTGTTCATCCTTTGTTGTCAGCCGGTTCTTCAACTGCGACATGCTGTGCGTCTCCGTCAACTTGTCGAGCACTTTGCTGCACATTCTTCTCCCCTTCTTTGATGTCGTGGAAAATTTTTTGGGGATTGTAAGACCTTCTGTCATCCTCTCTATCATCTTGTGGATAAGGGCACTTTCCTCTTCGCCATCCTTCCTTCCTTCCTTCTTTCCTTCCATCCATCCTTTCGTCTGTCTGTCCATCCATCCTTCCTTTCTTCTGTTCTTTCTTCCTTCCATCCATCCATCCAACCATTCATCCATCCATCCATCCATCCGTCCGTCTTTCAGTCCTTCCTTCCATCCATCCTGCCTTGCTTCCTTCCTTTCTTCCGTCCTTCCTTATGTCCGTCCGTCCTTCCAACCATACATTGTTCCTTCCATTCTTTGTTCCATTGTTCCATCCTTCCTTCTGTTCGTCATCCCTACGTCCTTCCTTTTTTTCTTACTTTTTTCCTTCCTTCCTTCCAGCCGTCTGTCCTTCCATCCTTCCTTCCTGCCTTCCTTCCTTCCATCCATACGTCAATCCTGGCTTTATTCCGTCCTTCATTTCGTCCGTCCGTCCGTCCATCCATCTGTCCAACCATCCTTTCTTCCTTCCTTCCATCCATCCTTTGTTCCTTCCATCCATCCATCCATCCATCCATCCATCCATCCGTCCGTCCGTCTTTCAGTTCTTCCTTCCATCCATCCTTCCTTGCTTCCTTCCTTTCCTCCGTCCTTACTTACGTCCTTCCTTCCTTCCAACCATCCATTGTTCCTTCCATCCTTTGTTCCATTCTTCCTTCCATCCGTCCTTCCTTTTTTTCTTCCTTTTTTCATTCCTTCCAGCCGTCCGTCCTTCCATCCTTCCTTCCTGCCTTCCTTCCGTCCATCTGTACGTCAACCCTTGCTTCATTCCGTCCTTCCTTCCATCCGTCCATCCATCTGTCCTTCCATACTTTCTTCCTTCCTTCCATCTTTCGTTCCTTCCTTCATTTGATCCTTCCTTCCATCCATCCATCCATCCTTCAGTCCTTCCTTCAATCTATTCATCCATCCTTCCTTCCATCCTTTATTCCTCCCTTCCTTCCATCCTTTGTTCTACCCTTCCTTCTGTCCGTCCATCCCTCCGTCCGTCCTTCCTTTTTTTCCTTCCTTCCTTCCATCCATCCTTCCTTCCATCCATCCAACCTTCCTTCCGTCCTTCCTTCCTTCCATCCATCCAGCCTTCCTTCCATCCTTCCTTCCGTCCGTCCATCCCTCCGTCCGTCCTTCCTTTCTTTCTTCCTTCCTTCCTCCCTTCCGTCTGTCCGTCCATCCTTCCTTCCATCCATCCAGACTTCCTTCCTTCCATCCGTCTGTCCGTCCGTCCTTCCTTCCTTCCTTCCTTCCATCCATACTTCCTTGCTTCCTTCCTTTCTTCCGTCCTTCCTTCCTTCCAACCATCCATTGTTCCTTCCATTCTTTGTTCCATTCTTCCTTCCATCCGTCCTTCCTTTTTTTCTTCCTTTTTTCATTCCTTCCAGCCGTCCGTCCTTCCATCCTGCCTTCCTTCCATCTGCACGTCAACCCTTGCTTCATTCCGTCCTTCCTTCCGTCCGTCCAGCCATCTGTCCTTCCATACTTTCTTCCTTCCTTCCATCTTTCGTTCCTTAGTTCCTTTGATCCTTCCTTCCATCCATCCATCCATCCATCCTTCAGTCCTTCCTTCAATCTATTCATCCATCCTTCCTTCCATCCTTTATTCCTCTCTTCCTTCCATCCTTTGTTCTACCCTTCCTTCCGTCCGTCCATCCCTCCGTCCGTCCTTCCTTTTTTTCCTTCCTTCCTTCCTTCCGTCCGTCCATCCTTCCTTCCATCCATCCAACCTTCCTTCCGTCCTTCCTTCCTTCCATCCATCCAGCCTTCCTTCCATCCTTTGTTCCATCCTTCCTTTTGTCCGTCCATCCCTCTGTCCGTCATTCCTTTCTTTCTTCCTTCCTTCCTCCATTCCGTCTGTCCGTCCATCCTTCCTTCCATCCATCCAGACTTCCTTCCTTCCGTCCATGCGTCCTTCCTTCCTTCCTTCCATCCGTCCAGCCTTCCTTCCATCCTTTGTTCCATCCTTCCTTCAGTCCATCCAACACTCTGTCCTTCCTTCCTTTCTTCCTTCCTTCCATCCACCCGTCTTTCCTTCCTTCCGTCCATACTTTCTTCCTTCCTTCCTTTCTTTCTTCTTTCCGTCCTTCCAACCAGGAGACATCCTGACCAGATGCCAGAACCACCTCAACTGGCTTGTGGAGGAGCAGTGGCTCTAGTCTGAGTCCCTCCCGAATGACTGAGCTTCTTATCCTATCTCTAAGGAAAAGACCAGCCATCCTATGGAGGAAACCCTTTTCGGCCGCTTGTATCCGCGATCTTGTTCTTTCGGTCATGACCCAAAGCTCCTGACCCTAGATGAGTGCAGGAACATAAATCGACTCAGCAAATCTGTTCCCAACATTTGAACCACTGAGTTATTGGTTAATATGAACTAATGCTGTTCTCAAACCAAACTGCTACAGCATTATTATCAGGCCTGTAACAACCACAACAAGAATCGGAGTGGCATATCCCGCAACTTCTGCAGTACACAGCTTTTTGCGTAGGCTGTTCTCAAAGCCTTTAAAGGCCTTCTGCATTTGTTCTTTCAGCAGCTCGCTCATCTTGGCACTGACCTGTTCATCCTTTGTTGTCAGCAGGTTCTTCAGCTGCGACATGCTGTGCGTCTCCGTCAACTTGTCGAGCACTTTGCTGCACATTCTTCTCCGCTTTTTTGATGTCGTGGAAAAATTTTTGGGAATTGTAAGACCTTCCGTCATCCTCTCTACCATCTTGTGGATGAGGGCACTTTCCTCTTCGCCATCCTTCCTTCCTTACTTCCGTCTGTCCGTCCTTCCTTCCTTCCATCCATCCAGCCTTCCTTCCATCCTTTGTTCCATCCTTCCTTCCGTCCGTCCATCCCTCCGTCCTTCCTTTCTTTCTTCCTTCCTTCCATCCATCCATCAATCCTTCCTTCCCTCCTTTATGCCATGCTTCCTTCCTTCCGTCCGTCCATTCCTCTGTCCATCCATCCCTCCATCCATCCTTCCTTCCGTCCGTCCATCCCTCTGTCCGTCCTTCCTGTCTTTCTTCCTTCCTTCTGTCTGTCCTTCCCTCCTTCCTTCCTTCTTTCTTTCCTTCCGTCGGTCCGTCCTTCCTTTTTTCCTTCCATCCATCCAGCCTTCCTTCCATCCTTTGTTCCATCCTTCCTTCAGTCCATCCATCCCTCCGTCCTTCCTTTCTTCCTTCCTTCCATCCATCTGTCTTTCCTTCCTTCCGTCCATCCTTTCTTCCTTCCTTCCTTTCTTTCTTCTTTCCATCCTTCAGACCAGGAGGCATCCTGACCAGATGCCAGAGCCACCTCAACTGGCTTGTGGAGGAGCAGTGGCTCTAGTCTGAGTCCCTCCCGGATGACTGAGCTTCTTACCCTATCTATAAGGAAAAGACCAGCCATTCTATGGAAGAAACCCTTTTCGGCCGCTTGTATCCGCGATCTTGTTCTTTCGGTCATGACCCAAAGCTCCTGACCCTAGATGAGTGCGGGAACATAAATCGACTCAGCAAATCTGTTCCCAACATTTGAACCACTGAGTTATTGGTTAATATGAACTAATGCTGTTCTCAAACCAAACTGCTACAGCATTATTATCAGGCCTGTAACAACCACAACAAGAATCGAAGTGGCATATCCCGCAACTTCTGCTGTACACAGCTTTTTGCGTAGGCTGTTCTCAAAGCCTTTAAAGGCCTTCTGCATTTGTTCTTTCAGCAGCTCGCTCATCATGGCACTGACCTGTTCATCCTTTGTTGTCAGCCGGTTCTTCATCTACGACATGCTGTGCGTCTCCGTCAACTTGTCGAGCACTTTGCTGCACATTCTTCTCCGCTTCTTCGATGTCGTGGAAAATTTTTTGGGGATTGTAAGCTCTTCTGTCATCCTCTCTACCATCTTGTGGATGAGGGCACTTTCCTCTTCGCCATCCTTCCTTCCTTCCATCCATCCAGCCTTCCTTCCATCCTTCGTTCCATCCTTCCTTCCGTCCGTCCATCCTACCGTCCTTCCTTTCTGCCTTCCTTCTTTCCTTCCATCCACCCGTCTTTCCTTCCTTCCGTCCGTCCTTTCTTCCTTCCTTTCTTTCTTCTTTCCGTCCTTCCGACCAGGAGGTATCCTGACGAGATGACAGAGCCACCTCAACTGGCTTGTGGAGGAGCAGTGGCTCTAGTCTGAGTCCCTCCCGGATGACTGAGCTTCTTACCCTATCTCTAAGGAAAAGCCCAGCCATCCTATGGAGGAAACCCTTTTCGGCCACTTGTATCCGCGATCTTGTTCTTTCAGTCATGACCCAAAGCTCCTGACCCTAGATGAGTGCAGGAACATAAATCGACTCAGCAAATCTGTTCCCAACATTTGAACCACTGAGATATTGGTTAATATGAACTAATGCTGTTCTCAAACCAAACTGCTACAGCATTATTATCAGGCTTGTAACAACCACAACAAGAATCGAAGTGGCATATCCCGCAACTTCTGCGGTACACAGCTTTTTGCATAGGCTGTTCTCAAAGCCTTTAAAGGCCTTCTGCATTTGTTCTTTCAGCAGCTCGCTCATCTTGGCACTGACCTGTTCATCCTTTGTTGTCAGCAGGTTCTTCAGCTGCGACATGCTGTGCGTCTCCGTCAACTTGTCGAGCACATTCTTGCTGTACATTCTTCTCCGCTTTTTTGATGTCGTGGAAAAATTTTTGGGGATTGTAAGACCTTCTGTCATCCTCTCTACCATCTTGTGGATGAGGGCACTTTCCTCTTCGCCATCCTTCCTTCCGTACTTCCGTCCGTCCTTCCTTGCTTCCTTCCATCCATCCAGCCTTCCTTCCATTCTTTGTTCCATCCTTCCTTCCGTCCGTCCATCCCTCCGTCCTTCCTTTCTTTCTTTCTTCCTTCCTTCCATTCATCCATCCATCCATCCTTCCTTCCATCCTTTGTGCCATGCTTCCGTCCTTCCATTCCTCTGTCCGTCCATCCCTCCATCCATCCTTCCTTCCGTCCGTCCATCCCTCTGTCCGTCCTTCCTGTCTTTCTTCCTTCCATCTTTCCTTCCTTCCTTCTGTCCGTCCTTCCCTCCTTCCTTCCTTCCTTCCTTCTTTCTTTCCTTCCGTCCATTGGTCCGTCCGTCCTTCCTGACTTTTTTCCTTCCATCTTTCCTTCCCTCCATCCGTCCGTCCTTCCCTCCTTCCTTCCTTCTTTCTTTCCTTCCGTGCATCCGTCGGTCTGTCCGTCCTTCCTTCTTTCCTTCCATCCATCCAGCCTTCCTTCCATCCTTTGTTCCATCCTTCCTTCAGTCCGTCCATCCCTCCGTCCTTCCTTTCTTCCTTCCTTCCATCCACCCGTCTTTCCTTCCTTCCGTCCGTCCATCCCTCTGTCCGTCCATCCCTCCATCCATCCTTGCTTCCGTCCGTCCATCCCTCCGTCCGTCCTTCCTGTCTTTCTTCCTTCCTTCCTTCCGTCCTTCCCTCCTTCCTTCCTTCCTTCTTTCTTTACTTCCGTCGGTCCGTCCTTCCTTTTTTCCTTCCATCCATCCATCCAGCCTTCCTTCCATCCTTTGTTCCATCCTTCCTTCAGTCCGTCCATCCCTCCGTCCTTCCTTTCTTCCTTCCTTCCATCCATCTGTCTTTCCTTCCTTCCGTCCATCCTTTCTTCCTTCTTTCCTTTCTTCTTTCCATCCTTCAGACCAGGAGGCATCCTGACCAGATGCCAGAGCCACCTCAACTGGCTTGTGGAGGAGCAGTGGCTCTAGTCTGAGTCCCTCCCGGATGACTGAGCTTCTTACCCTATCTATAAGGAAAAGACCAGCCATTCTATGGAGGAAATCCTTTTCGGCCACTTGTATCCGCAATCTTGTTCTTTCGGTCATGACCCAAAGCTCCTGACCCTAGATGAGTGCGGGAACATAAATCGACTCAGCAAATCTGTTCCCAACATTTGAACCACTGAGTTATTGGTTAATATGAACTAATGCTGTTCTCAAACCAAACTGCTACAGCATTATTATCAGGCCTCTAACAACCACAACAAGATTCGAAGTGGCATATCCCGCAACTTCTGCTGTACACAGCTTTTTGCGTAGGCTGTTCTCAAAGCCTTTAAAGGCCTTCTGCATTTGTTCTTTCAGCAGCTCGCTCATCTTGGCACTGACCTGTTCATCCTTTGTTGTCAGCAGGTTCTTCAACTGCGACATGCTGTGCATATCCGACAACTTGTCGAGCACTTTGCTGCACATTCTTCTCCGCTTCTTCGATGTCGTGGAAAATTTTGGGGGGATTGTAAGCTCTTCTGTCATCCTCTCTACCATCTTGTGGATGAGGGCACTTTCCTCTTCGCCATCCTTCCTTACTTCCGTCTGTCCGTCTGTCCTTCCTTCCATCCAGCCTTCCTTCCATCCTTCGTTCCATCCTTCCTTCCGTCCGTCCATCCTACCGTCCTTCCTTTCTTCCTTCCTTCTTTCCTTCCATCCACCCGTCTTTCCTTCCTTCCTTCCTTTCTTCCTTCCTTTCTTTTTCTTTCCGTCCTTCCGACCAGGAGGTATCCTGACAAGATGACAGAGTCACCTCAACTGGCTTGTGGAGGAGCAGTGGCTCTAGTCTGAGTCCCTCCCGGATGACTGAGCTTCTTACCCTATCTCTAAGGAAAAGCCCAGCCATTCTATGGAGGAAACCCTTTTCGGCCGCTTGTATCCGCCATCTTGTTCTTTCGGTTATGACCCAAAGCTCATGACCCTAGATTAGTGTGGGAACATAAATCGACTCAGCAAATCTGTTCCCAACATTTGAACCACTGAGTTATTGGTTAGTTTGACCTAATGCTGTAACAGTTCAGTTGTCAAACCAAACTGCTACAGCATTATTATCAGGCCTGTAACAACCACAACAAGAATCGAAGTGGCATATCCCGCAACTTCTGCGGTACACAGCTTTTTGCGTAGGCTGTTCTCAAAGCCTTTAAAGGCCTTCTGTATTTGTTCTTTCAGCAGCTCGCTCATCTTGGCACTGACCTGTTCATCCTTTGTTGTCAGCCGGTTCTTCATCTGCGACATGCTGTGCGTCTCCGTCAACTTGTCGAGCACTTTGCTGCACATTTTTCTCAGCTTCTTCGATGTCGTGGAAAATTTTTTGGGGATTGTAAGACCTTCTGTCATCCTCTCTATCATCTTGTGGATAAGGGCACTTTCCTCTTCGCCATCCTTCCTTCCTTCCTTCCGTCCATCCTTCCTCCTTCCTTCCTTCCTTCCTTCCATCCATCCTTTCGTCTGTCTGTCCATCCATCCTTCCTTTCTTCTGTTCTTTCTTCCTTCCATCCATCTATCCAACCATTCATCCATCCATCCATCCGTCCGTCTTTCAGTCCTTCCTTCCACCATTCCTGCCTTGCTTCCTTCCTTTTCCTTACTTCCATCCTTTCTTACGTCCGTCCGTCCTTCCTTCCTTCCAACCATCCATTGTTCCTTCCATTCTTTGTTCCATTGTTCCATCCTTCCTTCTGTTCGTCATCCCTCCGTCCTTCCTTTTTTTCTTATTTTTTTCCTTCCTTCCTTCCAGCCGTCTGTCCTTCCATCGTTCCTTCCTGCCTTCCTTCCTTCCATCCATACGTCAATCCTGGCTTTATTCCGTCCTTCATTCCGTCCGTCCGTCCATCCATCTGTCCATCCATCCTTTCTTCCTTCCTTCCATCCATCCTTCCTTCCATCCTTTGTTCCATCCATCCATCCATCCATCCATCCATCCGTCCGTCTTTCAGTCCTTCCATCCATCCTTCCTTGCTTCCTTCCTTTCTTCCGTCCTTTCTTACGTCCTTCCTTCCTTCCAACCATCCCTTGTTCCTTCCATCCTTTGTTCCATTCTTCCTTCCATCCGTCCTTCCTTTTTTTCTTCCTTTTTTCATTCCTTCCAGCCGTCCGTCCTTCCTTCCTGCCTTCCTTCCTTCCATCTGTACGTCAACCCTTGCTTCATTCCGTCCTTCCTTCCATCCGTCCATCCATCTGTCCTTCCATACTTTCTTCCTTCCTTCCACCTTTCGTTCCTTCCTTCCTTTGATCCTTCCTTCCATCCATCCATCCATCCTTCAGTCCTTCCTTCAATCTATTCATCCATCCTTCCTTCCATCCTTTATTCCTCCCTTCCTTCCATCCTTTGTTCTACCATTCCTTCTGTCCGTCCATCCCTCCGTCCGTCCTTCCTTTTTTTCCTTCCTTCCTTCCTTCCATCCATCCATCCTTCCTTCCATCCATCCAACCTTCCTTCCGTCCTTCCTTCCTTCCATCCATCCAGCCTTCCTTCCATCCTTCCTTCCGTCCGTCCATCCCTCCGTCTGTCCTTCCTTTCTTTCTTCCTTCCTTCCTCCCTTCCGTCTGTCCGTCCATCCTTCCTTCCATCCAACCAGACTTCCTTCCTTCCGTCCGTCCGTCCTTCCTTCCTTCCTTCCTCCCTTCCATCCATCCTTCCTTGCTTCCTTTCGTTCTTCCGTCCTTACTTACGTCCTTCCTTCCAACCATCCATTGTTCCTTCCATCCTTTGTTCCATTCTTCCTTCCATCCGTCCTTCCTTTTTTTCTTCCTTTTTTCATTCCTTCCAGCCGTCCGTCCTTTCATCTGTCCTTCCATCTTTCGTTCCTTCCTTCATTTGATCCTTCCTTCCATCCATCCATCCATCCATCCATACATCCTTCAGTCCTTCCTTCAATCTATTCATCCATCCCTCCTTCCATCCTTTATTCCTCCCTTCCTTCCATCCTTTGTTCTACCCTTCCTTCCGTCCGTCCATCCGTCCGTCCTTCCTTCCTTTTTTTCCTTCCTTCCTTCCTTCCGTCCGTCCATCCTTCCTTCCATCCATCCAACCTTCTTTCCGTCCTTCCTTCCTTCCATCCATCCAGCCTTCCTTCCATCCTTTGTTCCATCCTTCGTTCCGTCCGTCCATCCCTCTGTCCGTCCTTCCTTTCTTTCTTCCTTCCTTCCTCCCTTCCGTCTGTCCGTCCATCCTTCCTTCCATCCATCTAGACTTCCTTCCTTCCGTCCATCCGTCCTTCCTTCCTTCCATCCGTCCAGCCTTCCTTCCATCCTTTGTTCCATCCATCCCTCCGTCCTTCCTTTCTTTCTTCCTTCCTTCCACCCATCCGTCTTTCCTTCCTTCTATCCGTCCTTTCTTCCTTCCTTTCTTTCTTCTTTCCGTCCTTCCGACCAGGAGGTATCCTGACGAGATGACAGAGCCACCTCAACTGGCTTGTGGAGGAGCAGTGGCTCTAGTCTGAGTCCCTCCCGGATGACTGAGCTTCTTACCCTATCTCTAAGGAAAAGCCCAGCCATCCTATGGAGGAAACCCTTTTCGGCCACTTGTATCCGCGATCTTGTTCTTTCGGTCATGACCCAAAGCTCCTGACCCTAGATGAGTGCAGGAACATAAATCGACTCAGCAAATCTGTTCCCAACATTTGAACGACTGAGTTATTGGTTAATATGAACTAATGCTGTTCTCAAACCAAACTGCTACAGCATTATTATCAGGCTTGTAACAACCACAACAAGAATCGAAGTGGCATATCCCGCAACTTCTGCAGTACACAGCTTTTTGCGTAGGCTGTTCTCAAAGCCTTTAAAGGCCTTCTGCATTTGTTCTTTCAGCAGCTCGCTCATCTTGGCACTGACCTGTTCATCCTTTGTTGTCAGCAGGTTCTTCAGCTGCGACATGCTGTGCGTCTCCGTCAACTTGTCGAGCACATTCTTGCTGGACATTCTTCTCGGCTTTTTTGATGTCGTGGAAAAATTTTTGGGAATTGTAAGACCTTCCGTCATCCTCTCTACCATCTTGTGGATGAGGGCACTTTCCTCTTCGCCATCCTTCCTTCCTTACTTCCGTCTGTCCGTCCTTCCTTCCTTCCTTCCTTCCATCCATCCAGCCTTCCTTCCATCCTTTGTTCCATCCTTCCTTCCGTCCGTCCATCCCTCCGTCCTTCCTTTCTTTCTTTCTTCCTTCCTTCCATCCATCCATCCTTCCTTCCATCCTTTGTGCCATGCTTCCTTCCTTCCGTCTGTCCATTCCTCTGTCCGTCCATCCCTCCATCCATCCTTCCTTCCGTCCGTCCATCCCTCTGTCCGTCCTTCCTGTCTTTTTTCCTTCCATCTTTCCTTCCTTCCTTCTGTCTGTCCTTCCCTCCTTCCTTCCTTCCTTCTTTCTTTCCTTCCGTCCGTTGGTCCGTCCGTCCTTCCTGTCTTTCTTCCTTCCATCTTTCCTTCCCTCCGTCCGTCCGTCCTTCCCTCCTTCCTTCCTTCTTTCTTTCCTTCCGTTCATCCGTCGGTCCGTCCGTCCTTCCTTCTTTCCTTCCATCCATCCAGGCTTCCTTCCATCCTTTGTTCCATCCTTCCTTCAGTCCGTCCATCCCTCCGTCCTTCCTTTCTTCCTTCCTTCCTTCCACCCATCCGTCTTTCCCTCCTTCTGTCCGTCCTTTCTTCCTTCCTTTCTTTCTTCTTTCCGTCCTTCAGACCAGGAGGCATCCTGACAAGTTGACAGAGCCACCTCAACTGGCTTGTGGAGGAGCAGTGGCTCTAGTCTGAGTCCCTCCCGGATGACTGAGCTTCTTACCCTATCTATAAGGAAAAGACCAGCCATTCTATGGAGGAAACCCTTTTCGGCTGCTTGTATCCACGATCTTGTTCTTTCGGTCATGACCCAAAGCTCCTGACCCTAGATTAGTGTGGGAACATAAATCGACTCAGCAAATCTGTTCCCAACATTTGAACCACTGAGTTATTGGTTAGTTTGACCTAATGCTGTAACAGTTCAGTTGTCAAACCAAACTGCTACAGCATTATTATCAGGCCTGTAACAACCACAACAAGAATCGAAGTGGCATATCCCGCGACTTCTGCGGTACACAGCTTTTTGCGTAGGCTGTTCTCAAAGCCTTTAAAGGCCTTCTGCATTTGTTCTTTCAGCAGCTCGCTCATCTTGGCACTGACCTGTTCATCCTTTGTTGTCAGCAGGTTCTTCAGCTGCGACATGCTGTGCGTCTCCGTCAACTTGTCGAGCACTTTGCTGCACATTCTTCTCCGCTTCTTTGATGTCGTGGAAAATTTTTTTGGGATTGTAAGACCTTCTGTCATCCTCTCTATCATCTTGTGGATGAGGGCAGTTTCCTCCTCGCCGAGCTGCTCTAAAGCTTTCAATGCCCCGCAGTCGATCAGCAGCCCAAGCTCCAGATTTGCTGCGAACATCTTCAGCTTGTTCCCTTCCAGTACCTTCTCCATCGGGTCAGGAACATCGGGACAGTTAAAAAATATGCGTTCAATTTTCATATTCTCGCTTAAAGTCTGCACGATTCCGGTGTGAGAACTCTTTGAACTTCTGTTTGTTTGTGAAGAGCCACTGAAGCAGGCAGCGACTCAATATCTGTCAAAGCCTTTGTGACGGCATCATTCAGTGACATCATGTCGGTGACGTCATAGGGCACAACGCCTTGTCAAGTCTCCCGTTTTTGGCCGGAAGATGAACTTGTGCATTTCGGCCGATTTGAGTTCTGCTTCTCCTCTGTCATTGAAAGAGCAGTGATGTTTAGTTCAGGCAGTAGGTCAGAGATCCTAAGAGTAGTGGCTCGTAGAATTTGAATGATGTGAAGCACAATTGCGAGTCCACCTGTGTGAAAAAACTAAAAAAAAAGGTTTTTGATTGGCCTGGTGAAAATCTTTATATAAATCCAATAAAAATGTTTGTCAACTCCTGCAGTAGATGAGAAGAGTAGATCAAAATTCCACCAGTGACGTAAAAGACATTACTAACGATGAGCCAGTTGTTATGTGTGAAGCGTTTTTACTTTTTCCCACTGGGGCTAATTTTGTTTGGATAATTGTTTTCATTTAAAAAAATTGGGTGTCATGTGACCCAGGTGACGTCGCCTGGCCATGTCTCATGACCTCTTCACTTTAACTCATACCTGTCCCCTTTGTTCCTTTGACTCTAACCTCCTGACCTCCATGAGAAACAACCGCACCATGTGGGCTTCGACAGTTTCTGCCCCCGTCCCTCTGTGTCAAAGCTCCAACTACCTTCAAATCACTACTCAGTCGCCCATCTGGTCTATCCACCAAAACCCCTTTTCAATCTTCAGCTACTTGTTTATGTTGTCTGTAATTTTTCTTTTCTTGCAAAGTCTCTTTGAGATTTCTAAAAAAAAAAAAAAGATGCTATCTACATTTAATGCATTATTATTAGTATTATAGTTATTATTATGAATAGTAATTCTTTTGAACATGAGTTATTATGTGTTTGTTTGTTTTTTTGTTGTTGCTTTTGACCAATAAGATACACAGAGTTTCCAGTTGTGAGATGATAAAAAGTATCATTATCTCAGAGCCCTTTTATCTTAAATAAGGTATTTGTTATTTTTCTTACTTGTTAGCCATGTTTAGCATATTGAATGGAGTAAGTCAATTACACACAACATGGTAGTGATGGTCCACATGCTCCTGACAGTATTCACATTAAAAAGAACATATTTGTAAAATTAGCATAAAATTACTAACATGGTTCAAGTCCATGTTAGTCACATTTTTGTTTTTTGCTAAGCTTAGCATTGATGCTAATTTTTAGTATCAGAACGCTGGGTCCAAATCGACAGGCACACTTTGTCAGGCCCCGGTTAAATTTCTTCAGGAATTTTCTAGTTTCAACTTCATGGATTCCGCCTACATACTCAAACGACTTTCTTTGTTAGCGTACAGCTGGAGCTTTCCGATTTTTATACCTCTAGAGTATTCTCTGGAATATTACCTTTATTTAAATACTTGAACCAGTTAAATACTCCTTGTAGTTCCAGAGATATATGGAATTCCTTTTGGATCATTTTTTCCCCCCAAAAAAACTCTTTAATTAATCCATGTCTGTGAACATTTTTTTTTTAGCTGGCCATTGTAAAGACGCAATATAAATCCTGAGGTCAGCGCTATTAAATGTTGGTCAAAACAAACCTATCCTCCAAATGAGCAGAACCCATCCCATCTGCACCACTAACAAGAGCTCTAAAATTACCATAGAGCTGCATCATCATCATTAAGAATAAATATTAAAAACAACATTGTTAATTTGATTTGCTTGTTTGTCCTTACTGGAGAATTCACTCATAATTTTATGTCCTCCATCGCTTTTGCATCAGATGAAGATTTTGCGATGTATAACCTTTAAACCCACACAGTAAGCTCTGCTGTTTTAGTCCTCAGCAGACACAACATGTGTAGAGTTCACCTCCGTTTCCACTGCCTGAAAGTGGAACTGAGTGACAGCTGGTAAGAATTACTTATTAGCTGTTAAACAGGGGTGAGATAAGACAAAATAAATTATTTGTTTCAGGATCTGGAGGCATTCAGCTGTTTGTCTCATTTTTTGGAATCTGTTCACATCTGGCTGTTTCAAAACGTAGGCTGATTTTTCTTACTGGGGGGTGCTAGCTTTGGTTTAACAGATGTTGTTTTCAGAAGATGAGAGGGAAATTAATTGTAGAAAAACAAACCGAGCATCAGAATAAATATTGCGTCAGTAACTTCTCAGGGTGTGGAAACCTGCTCTTGGTTTTTTCATAGAAAGGAAAATGGAAAATCTTAATTTAGTTTGCCAGATTACTTGTTGTTTAAAAATGTTTACTGACACGGGGGAAGTCATCCGACTATTAGAAGGTTGAGATAAAAGAAATAATTTATAGAACAAGCTGTTGAACATTTGGAGGAATTCAAAGCAGCTGGAGACAAGAAACACACCAAGAAAACACAAACCAGCCCACACAGACCAGTCAAGATCCTGATGCAAAACAATTACATCATCACAAAATAAGTTTTTTTATATATATATAAATAGTATTCTTCATGTGGGCTGCAGTGCTGTAAAACCTTCTCACATTTGACTGAGAAAAATATTTTCCTTAGTTTTTTGTGTATTTTTTCTAACTAATCCCATAAGAGGAGATGAGACTTAAACTGCTATCACAGTGAGTGAATCTGATCTCGTATTTGACAGTTACTGACTTTGCTTTTAGATGATTGCAGACAAAGGTCGGCAAAGGTCGGCTCATGTACGATGGCGGCATGAGCATGCAAAGAGAAAAGGTGGAAATTTTCTAGAGAGTGCAGGCGGTTCCCAGCACACAAACCCTTATTTCACCACAGGAATTCAATCTTTATTGATTTTAAAGCAGATAGAAACAATCATTTACCTTTATATTTTTTCTCACTCTGCCCGAAATAAAATTCACACCAAAATTGAAGTACCTGAATTCAAAACAAAACATTTTTTCCTTAAGTGCTGATTGTGATTGTTTACGTAAACCCAGTGACAATTTTTACTGTTTGCTGTTTTAGTACACAGCTTAGAGCACACCACTTTAAAGCACAAAAACAAGTTGCCATTCTGATTACTGGGAGTAGACAAAAACAGTTAGAACAAGAAAATAAAAAACAATCAAACCTAGAAATTTGGGGAAAAGCATACCTTTCAGTTGTTAACACAAAATCCAAAAGTTTTGATTCAAATGTATAGTTAACTGTTCTCTTTTTCTAAGCAATTGTGTTCTAGTTTTTTCTGTTTTTACATTGAGCAGAGATAACAATTACATTTATTTTTTTTTTTAACTAAAAGTACTTCCATTTTAGAGGTTGTAGCCCATGCATGTAGCAATGTTGTTTTTTTTTTACAAAACTCATGTAAAACATTCAGGAAAGCACCTCTTCAGGAAACCACTTATGTGTATGGAAAAGAAAAAGCAGGCAATATGGCAACTTGTTGTTTTCTCTTTTAATGTCATATAGAGCTAATCTGGCTTTAAAATGTCCATCCGACTGTTTTTAAAACACTGATCCCTCTGCAAACCAAGCAACTCAAGTTGCAAGTGTGTGAATATGGACCAGAGTGGTTCATATTGTGAAATGTCTTGCACAGCTTCCAATAACTGTTTGGCATACCAGGAACTGGATTTCTCCAACCTTTGGCTTTGCTCAATTTGAAAACTGTAGGTTAAGCTTCTTCTACAGGACAACACATGTGACTGAGCTTTATCCCTGCTGGCTGTACGCTTGTGTGTGTGCGTGTGTTTGCTTCATTACCAGCAGCCTGAAGTTCTGCTCTAAAGTCTGTCTGCTTCAGCACCCACACTGTAATGAGCATAAACAAGTTTCCATACGCAGGGAAAAAAAACCTTTCTGACTATTTTAAGCAGTCTACAAACAAAACACACCACGCCTCCACAGAACCACAAACACACAAGATTTCCTCTGCCAATCGGCATTGATCAGCAGCACTTCAAATGTGTGAAAACAGAACAGAAGCAGCTCCTATAAAAAGCGCTTCTTCATGTCCGTGGGCAGAGTAACTACTATGGTAAATAGTCAAGTGGGTTTTTTTGACGCACCCTGTGACGTGACTCCTACAGGGCAAATGAAAACATTTTGTTAAAACATGAGAACAGACAAAATTTGTCTTTGCACTTTGATGGACTGCAGTAGCATAATGCATTCTTGTGAAGACAGAGTCTTTGAGTTCCTGATCATCAATTATTCATGGCGTTTTATTACAGCTTCAGGGCATGCTGCCAGTACCTATACAGACATGTAAAATGTGAACCACCTGTTCAAAGTAGTACAGTTAAACAGTAAAAGTAGTACAGTAGTCTCATTCAATAAAACAGTCACACCATTTCCAACGAGTGGCCTTCTAACATTATAAAACACATGAGAGAGTTTTACTTTTACTCATTCTTAGCGGTTCTTATGTTCCTTTAATTTTTTACACTGACGAAACAGAAGATCTACTCTGATTTCTCACTGGATAACCGACCTGCTCATGGTATCTCTAAACCCGAGTTTAGCAGAACAATGGCGAAAGTCCACTTCATATCATTTGTTAATGAGTTAAAGTGTTGGAATATAGATGGACCTGTAATATGAGAAGTTTAGGTTTCTTTAGCTTTGTGAACCAGATGAAGCCTTACTCATCATTCTGTTCTTTAATCCATCCCACCATCAATCTTGAAGAAAACATTTTATTATTGTCCTCAAGAGTAAATTGACAGACAGCTTGATGTTCCTGTTGACAGATATTTGTGAGGAGCTGTCAACCAGCTGCCAGGGCTGCTGTAAATGTGGTGGCAATTATAACGAGAAGTCTGTGACAAACATTTAGCAAAACCGCAACAATTGTTCATTTTCAAATTATAAAACCTGACATTTTGTTTTGCAGTTTTTTATTCTTGAAAAGTGTACATTAGTGACAGAAAAATGCATAATTTTGAAGGAACTTATTATCTTCTGTACACCCCAATCTTTATCCAGTGGAAAACCCATCAAGGAGTAAAGCAAAGACATTGCAGCAAAATTCAAGTACACCCATATCACTCAGTTGTAATGGTTTAATAAGCACAGAAGATTAATAATAATTTGTTTACTCCTTCCTTCAGGTGTTCGGGTTGCATCGGTTTCCATTAAAGACTAGTCTTGTTGATAAATTGGTTAGCCTTCTTGCATAGATGGAGAGAATTAATGAAGAGCTACAAACGAGCCCTTAGTGCTCTATATGAAAACTCTCGGTCCTTTTCAGCTCGGATTCTCCCTCTCCTGCGTCTTATGCTGAGAAATTCAGAAACATTCAGGGCTCTAGAGGAAGGCGATTAATGTCATTTTTCTTCCTCTGTACAGCTCTGCTGCCACAACAAGTCATATGGTGATTGCTCTACATAATGTTGATCCACTAAAGCACTTTCCTTTGCAGGCCTGTATAGGATTTTCAGAAACACTTTGATAATCTCAAGAAACTAATGAAATTAGTCAAACAGTCAAGTCTGCCCACACATGTGGGCCCTTATCATGGCTTAAAACTGAAGAAATAATCTTTAGCGGATGCTGAATAGAGGGTGGTCACTCAAGACAGAAGAGGCAGGAGTCACACTACTGCGTTATCACATTGTGCAAGTGGGCTGGCCTGTCAAAAGATGACTTACTGCAAGCCTGCTGCGAATGACAGCTGGCAGGAATGAAGTAAAGAAAAAACACAAAGACTTACTACGGAGAGATTGTGGGGGAAAGAGAGTGACATAGTGGAGAGAAAAGTAAGCAGATGGATCACTGAGAATGTTTGCCAAATTCTGGATTTGTATTTACAGAAGTGGCCCGTTTGTTATGAGCAAACATGAATATTTTTAGCTCCTCACACATTTCCATAAATACCTCGGGAGTTTGTTTGCTGGACCGTTGCATCATCCCTGGAGAGACATAAGGCATAAATCTCCATCACCCCCGACTGAACAAATTTGTTGATTCTGATGAGTGGGCAGAAAGACCAGGGCTGTTCTGCTCTTAATTCCCCTGGGATGAATAAAAGACGATGCCAGGGGATGAGAGAATTTACAGGAAGGCTGGGGTGAGATGGTTTAGTGGGCCACTGATTTCATTTAGTCATCAAAGCGCAGCTGCATATTTCACAGGACCTGACACCTGCAATGCTTGTAAATACCTTCAACAAAATTTAAATGACAGCTTATGAGCAAATAAGGTCTCAATAAGTCAAGGAGGATCCATACATGTATACAAAGGATTTAAAGCATTGCCTGTGATAACAGCAGCGACAGACTGCAGACTGTGCAGCCATCTGTTTTCTCTACATCTCAGCTGCTGTTTGAGAGCGATTTTGCTTTGTGCCAACTTATTCTGCTGACCTCTGCGACCTTTGGCTTGACACATCTTAACAGGTCTGCTTAGTCAATCCTTGTTGCAATGTTTTTATGAGAAATAAAGATTGGCAGGAAACTATACAATACAGCAACCTACAAAAGTTTTCATGCAACCTTGAAAACCTTTGCATTTTCCCATGTTTTTATTGTAGACAAAACGGTTTGGCTGTATTTGTATTCTGAGTAATTTTTTATAGACACCTTTGCAGCAAGTTTAGCCTTTAAGCATTTGTGTTACTTTCCACCTAATTTACACAATAAAACATTTGTTCATACCAATCAAGTTACTATGTTGCACCATCCAGCCTTCAGACCACCACTAGCAGGCAATGTTGGTGAAGTGTCTTGCCCAAGGACGCAACAACAGAGGAGGGAATCGAACTGCTGACCCATTGATTGCAAATTTCTTCCACCGTTGCCACTGTCACCCCACTTCGATGTGCAGTGTTAGTGTCTTGCCACTCTTAGCTACTGACATAGCACAAAAGGTCCACATGTTTGCTGTGTCTCCTACATGGGAAAACTGTCTTTGAACAATGGCTTTCTTCTTGCTGCAGAATAAAGGGCTGATTTGTGAAGAGCGTAGCTATTAGACCAACAGATTCTGCTTTTGCTCCTAATTTTTCTCCTGGGCTTTGGATCTTTGCTCTTCCTCCTGATGAGAAAGACCCAAAGCCCCTGGGATTAATGCTCACCTCGCCAGCCTCTCAGTTTAGGCAGATGACCGCATATTCGTAGGATTGCCTCTGTGTCATTATTTTTATTATGATGTACAGAAAGATTGTTCTCCTTGACACATTGGAAGTTTGGGAGATTGTGTTTTATAGCTTTTTCCATAAATGTATCCTTAGTCTGCCTGGTGTGTCACTTGACCTTTATGCTTCTTCTGTTTCGTTGCTAATGCTCACTGAACCTCAGAGCTCTTCACAGAATAGCTGGACTCTTGTTTTACCAAAATAAATTACTTCTAAATGGGTAACATATGATGTGGATTCTTTCAGTGGGCTCACAGTAAAGGTGTCTCGGCACATAACCATGTATCATTTTACCTTGCAGGTATGTCCGATTATGGTCTATCACATAAAATCCCAATAAAATATATCGCCATTTGCAGTTAAAAGCTTATAAAGCATGAAAATATTGCTTCTCTCCACAGCACAGCAATCCTAAATATTCCAAAAGATCAAAGCTTTGCTCAGGTGTAAACACAAACTGCCAATATTACTTCAGTCACACCTCATTGATTGACTGCTTTAAGTGTCCTGACTGAGTGCCACAGCCAGAGCCCTGAACTGTGGATAAGTGAGCCATCAAAGTAATAACCAAATAATGTTTCTTGCAGCATGGTCACAGGAGAGCAGGATAATTACCAGTAGAGCAGAGAGTTATTAAAGGACTCCACTCTGTGAAGAAGTGATACACATTGTGCTGTGGAACAGGGAATGTGCTGCAGTGAGAAGTATAATTACAAAAAGTGAGCATTGAGAAACCAGATATGTGGGGGCTGGGCACGAACAGCTGCTGACATCACAACAACGATGACCCCATTCAGGTGAATCCTCTCTCCTGCCAACTAACCTGGAAAACAAACACAACAGAAAGGATAATTCAGGAACAAAATACAATAAATGATCTAATACGCTGGTGGTACATTTTTTAACATGTATGCGGCCGGTGACATATAAAGTCATATCTTTTATATTAAAAAGACAAACAAGTTTTTCTTGTGGGTTGGGGTCATTATTTGCTAGGGTATTAGGTACTAAAAAATCAGCTTACAGAGCTGTTTTAAGAATAACAATGTTTTTAGCTTTCTGATAGTGCCATCTTGTGGAAAATTCACTCATTCACTTGGAGACAGACAATGCTTAATGTGAAACTTATTTATTTGTAATTCAATTCGCTCTAAAAAACACATTTTATGGTTGCTGTATACAATGAATGTTTCATTGCACTAAATTAAGAAATACAGCATCGAACCAGTTTGGAACAAGAAATGGTTACTGTCATGTTGAGAGTAGGAAAGACACCAATTTTAAAAAGAGAACAAAAAGGCATGTTCATAATATTTACAGATATGTATATTATAGATATAATGTAAACAATATGTAAGTTGTAAAATGCACTAAAATATGTGCAAGCAGTGGGTGGAAACCCAGGTAAGTACAAAGTTCAGAAGTTTGCAAAGAACCCAAAAGTTGTACTCACGTAAAAACACAAAACTATATTTCAACATACTTTTACTAAAGCATAACAGTAGCCATCCAAAAAATTACCTAAGAGTTTCTAAGTATTTTTAAGTAAGGCAACTTATGTATTGATGCCATCAAACAGACAAAAAGAGAAAGTTTTGGGCAAATGCCTGTTTACAAATAAGAAGTCTTTAACATAAATTGTAAATTGTATCTGTGCTTGGTACAACTTTTTTCCTCATTTAGTGCAGTTACTGGATTATCCAGAAACATGACTTAGTAAGCAAAAGTTACAACAATTCATTATAATATGACTAAGGTAAAATAATAATAATAATAATAATAATAATAATAATAATAATAATAATAATAATAATAATAATAATAATAATGTGGTAAGTAACTTCTAAACGTATTTTTGCCAAATAAGTTGTTGTAGTATATGTGAGTAAATTTAAGAAGTTACAACTAATTTCTGGCAAACCTGGTGGAAGCAGAAAGGACTGGATTTCACTGATGAGTTTATCTGTGCAGCTCCTGACGTAGTGAAACTACTCAAACTAAATTTGAAGCTGATTCAGACATTGCTTGTTTAGAGATTGGATTGTATATTTAAAGGTCATAATCACTTTAAAATGACTATTTTATCAAAAATCTCGAAACTTCCCCGTTGAAGTGCCGCCTTTCTGCCTCTAGGTGGCAGTATGGTGCTCGACAAACAGCAAAGCAGCTGCCAGACCCAAAGAAAAGAAGCCGAAAACGGAAAAGGCGTTGAATATTCAATTGAAAACAGAAATGGCGGGGTATGACAGCGCTGTAACTCTAAAAATAAAACACTGCGTCGGGTGTTAAGGATTTTTGTTTTGGTAAAACATGTGAAAAACGGGAATATGAAGTCCAGCGAAGGTCACAGAGTCCATTAGTGGTACAGCTGTTTATAATGGATGCTTTCTAAGAGAAGACCAGTGGAGTGTTTACACATCTATTACCTTTTCTTCAAATATTTGCTGATAGTATTCAAACAATACAATGCAGACTTTCAACAGGCGGGTTTCTTAGCTCACTTTCGAGATGATTTGTTCCTAAACAACGCGCTAATACTGGAAGAAGCCAGTATTACTCATTTGGTTGGTTTACAGCGAAGCGACGAGCCATGTCTAACAATGGAAAAGTCATCCCGGACACCCCGCTGGTCGTGGACTTTTGGCAGGTTCGGAAATGTCCCGGCAGCCGCTTGTTTTTCCTGACCCACATGCACAGCGACCACACGGTGGGTCTGACCTCCACCTGGAGCAACCGACCCATCTACTGCTCGCCCGTCACTGCCGCCCTGCTCAGACTCAAACTGCAGGTGAGGAGGAGACATCAACACTGGACCCCACGGTACACACTTCATACAAAGCCTTTTACAAGGAAGACAAGATCCACTGGCTTGATGGATGTATAAATATATGAGGAAAAACACACATCAAGGCATTGTCTTGAAACTAAATGTTTTAAAGCTCAATCAATACAGTATATATCTATTTGTTAAAATGGTGTAACATTATATAACATATACATGCAACAACATGCTTCGGTTTAAATGTGCACATTTCCAATCACAGCCTCTGTCTTAAATATACATGTTCACAATACACCATTGCAAATTGGTAATATTTGTTTTGGTGACATTCTGCATGTAAATAATGAATGTCAATATATGTTCGCCGCATGGATGCACAGATGGACCAAAGCAAGTGAGCACAAAATAACAGTAGAATAGTGAGTTTTTCAGTAGATTCCAGCGTCTTGTCAGTTCTGCTTGTTTTCTGTTTTATTTTTCATCTTATTTAGTTTCTATTTGCTAAGTTACTAATTTCTTTTATGTTCTTTTAACTCTTACTGATCCCATTTTATTCACTATTCGTTTCCTGTTCAGGTGAAAGAACAATGGATTCATCCTCTAGAGCTGTGTGAGCCATACCTTCTCCCTCTGGATGACATAGGCAAGGAGAAGCTCACTGTCACACTGATAGATGCCAACCACTGTCCTGGAGCTGTCATGTTTCTCTTTGAGGGATACTTTGGGGCAATTCTCTACACTGGTCCGTCTACTCTTTACAGGAATTTGATGTCTTTCTTTGATGCCATTGTTTTTCTTTTCTGTCCAATTCTGGAGTTACTCTAGGTTTACATTTAAAATTTTGAACTGTCTATTTTAGGTGATTTCAGATACACTCCTTCGATGCTGCGTGAGCCATGCTTAAGGACCAACACAACCATAGACGTTCTGTACTTGGACAACACCAACTGTGACCCCAACCGCACTCTGCCATCCAGACAGAAAGCAACTCAGCAAATCAAAGAGATCATCCGCAGACACCCCGACCACAATGTTGTTATAGGTGAATTTACACACAAAATGACACAGCCCGAAAAATAAGCTCTTACCTGGTCAGGTGTGACTACAGGTCCTTGATATCGCTTGAAGTTTCTTGCAAATTGTCATGGTAATGCTTCAAAATTTAGTGTTCAATATTTTAATTTTAGCCCTTAAGAAGTTTTAAATAAGCTTAATATCTACTATCCAATGTCCTAATTTACCTTTAGCATTAGCAAAATGTTGACAGTTGTTTTTTCGTTGCTTCTTTTGAGAAATGATTGGCAGTATTCTAACATCAAACCTTGACCAACTTGTGGAAAATATTCTCCATAAACTGACCTATTGAAGCATCTATAAAGAGATTAATTCTTGTTATTTACATTGAGCTGGTTTGTTATGAAAATAGTTCATATCTAACCAAGTTTGTCTTGAAATCAGGGTTATTTGTAGTTGATGTGAACTTATCAAGATTAGTTATTATGAAGCTTAATGTGCACAAAGGACTTCAAAGCAGGGCTTCAGGCATCATATCAAAGCTACACAAATAGCTTTGATATGAACAAAGCAAGTTAGAATAAAGAAATAATAAAGCAAGTTATATTTAACTTGCTTTATTTATTTTTTTAATATTATGTAAGAAATTGGTAATTAATATGAAATAGTCTAAAAAATGTCTTTAAAGATCTCAGAATGGTCCAAGTCACTGTTTGTGTGGAGACCTGGTTAAGTCACATCAGATTTCTCAAAATTATTGATTGGTTTGTTTTTTACTGTCTCACAGGCATTTATTCTTTGGGTAAGGAGAGTCTGTTGGTTGAGCTGGCGATGGAGTTTAAGACCTGGATTGAAGTGAATTTCGAGAGAATGGAGACCCTCAGAGCTCTGGAGCTTCCTGACGTCTTCACCACTGAGCCCGGGGCCGGCCGCATCCGAGTCGTGGACCAGTCCAAGATCTGCTCTGCAGTGTTGCATGAGTGGAACAGAGAACAACCTACACTGGCCATCTTACCCACCAGCAGACCTCTCATTTCCTTCCATCCTAGTGTCTACGTAGTGCCGTATTCAGACCACTCCTCCTACCAGGAGCTGGAGGATTTTGTCTCGGCTCTCAAACCTTCGTCTCTTGTACCCATCGTTGGAGGCTTTCTACCTGGAGGCCTTTCTGCCTTACTGCCGCACAAGAAACGCCAAGACGTCCATGTACCTGAGTCGGTCCGACTGTACATGTTGAGACAGCCCGAACGGCACGTCAGCTCCTCAGCGTACAATGGCCTCTGTCGCAGAAACCACAGACCTTTTGCTCCCAAAGGAGTGATATTTGATACTCCTGTGAAAAAATCTAGGAAGCTGTATGAGAAAGCCTGCGAGGAAGAAAGCATAGACCAGGATGGATCTGAGGAAGATATTGACACAGACAGCAGCGAAAGAGACTCTAATTATATTCTGGTTGATCCAAGCATAAAACTCACCCCTAAGAAAAACAGAGAAGGGGACAATGAGGAAATAGTTTCTGAAGAACTGGTGATGATAGAATCGGTGCAGCTTGGTCAACTCACTGAAAGCAACTTTGATCCAGTCCTGACAAACTCCGATAGCTTCAGGACAAGGCAGCAGTTGGAAATTAAGACAAGTGTAAAGACACATGGGCACGAAGAAGTTCAGATGAGCCAAACTCTGGCAGATTATGATACTATGAGTGAGCAGAGCTGGGGGAATCAGAGCAGCCCTTCAGATTTATTTAAAAACAGCCCAGATAGAGCCTCCCTTGGTTCAAGTGAGATATCCCGTGAGAGTACAGAGAAGCATGAAAACATCCTTTCAAAGTGTCTCCCCTTCTCAGAGATGGACTTTGCGCCTGGAGGCCTCCTTTCACATGACTTTGTGCGTCAGTTCACCCTCTCGCCTGGGAAGGATTCAGAGGAAGAGGACGTCTGAATCAACTTTAACACTTTTGAGTTGTTTCGGTGGCAGTTCCGGCTCACTTGAGCACTACTGTCACTTTGGTTTCTTATTTTTCATTGTCATCAAAGGTGTTTTCTGATTTGAGCCGTAAGCGTAGCTGCCGTAGAGCGGCAATAGACCACCGGATAATAAAATCCAACTCACATGAGCAAGTTTTATTCAATCATTTACAGGTGATGGGGATTTGGCAACACTGTGGGGTAGGCTCCACCGGCCCAGGGCAGAGACTGGCTTACAAGGTTTCTGCGGGTCTTTAGTGGACTTTATCCTTCCTCTGAATTTCAGATAATTTCCTGTGTTTTAGTGAGGAAATTATCTGAAGAAGAGACTTGCCCACCTGATTGAAACACATTTACCCTTCACTTTTTGCTGTGGAAGACAACCAAAATATTTTTTGTAAGTGCGATTTCAAAGTGTTTTGTATCTTTTGATGAGGAAAATAAAGTACTTTGTTCTAAACTATGAACAAATGTGTTCATAGTTTGCACTATGAACACATTTGCTGCTTTTGTATCACAGCAGACAAACTGTGACGATCTTGAGTTTAGTGATTATAGCTACTTTATTTTTAGGCATAACTAGGTTTCAATTTTGCCCTAAAAATGTAACCTGATATAAACAAAATGTCTAACTTTTTAACTTTGTACCGTTTTACTGCCTGAGTGGAAGCATTTTTTTATTTAGTTTCACAGTTTGTGAAGCAAAGAAATTAATGTTTGTTTGTTGTTCTAATTATTATTTATAAGAGGAACTGATTCCACACTTTTAACTACTACTGAGGCTATAATAATAATTCCTGTGATTAATATGACTGAGTGTTTTTGAGAGTATTAAGAGAGAAAAATTGTACTTACAATAAACGTGTTCAGTTGTATGCATGGGTTAAATCAGTGTTAATGTTTCTGAGAAGTCTTCATGCTTTTGAAATGTTTTGTTTTCCTAAACTGTAAACACATACTCAGAAAGTAGAAATGCACAAGTTTGTAAACATCCTTTCACAAGGTGAAATAATTGTATTCAAATATTGACAGGTGATGAATAATGATGATGATGAGTCCCTGTGGTTACATTTTTCTTTTCCTTGTTGAAATTTGCACAAATACTAACAACACTGACTAAATACTAAGTTTCTTTTCAAGTTCCTTTTGGTTTTATGTAATTTTTAAAGATACTATATATCATTAAAATATTGATTTAAACTGGTACTGGCTGTTTTTTTTTTTTTTTTACACTACCAGGTTGTACTTCTAATATGGTGTCCATAATCCTTTATGTTCCTGTTCTAATTTTGTTAATCCACTGCGCTCAGGTGAGTAATATGTCACCATTTCTAAATTACTATTCATATTTAAACAAATTTAACCTGTGGTTTTATTTATAAAACTAAAATTAAAGCCCCTGTTTAGCTTTTACGTCAGGATTTATTTAAGGTAGATTAATTTCTTGAGTTTACTACAACGTATCGCCTATAGAAGCATGTTTTCATAAACCAAAGATTAAGAATAGTGAAATGAAATCATCACAATTTTACAGATAATAATACAAACTCCTTATTTGGGAATGTTATTAATTTAATATTTCCACAAAATTTACATGGGATAAGCCAAATATCTAATGAACTCCATTACAATGCATGAGGGTGCAGAGACTGAGTAAAGCCATGTGTGGCTAAGATTTGGAGCAATTTCCTGTTGCAGTGTTGTTTTTCTCCAAAAGATGGCAGTAGTTTGTTGAAAAATATGGACTGTACACCTTTTGTTTCATTTCGAATTTAGGTTTTGGTTGTTTTTACTAAAGAAACTAAAAGTCAGATCTTTGTAATTTACTTTTTTCATGTACAATTTTATGAAAATAGTTCCTGAGGTGTGTTTCCCCAGACCAACCCACCCTAGAAATGACCCATTCAGTCAGTATTTGTTGTTCCAGCCAAGCTGCTTGAGTATACACATTGTGGTGTAAACCATAATGTGGCATTCTGCAGGTTATCTGTCACACTAGGTGACTGTACCAGCTGCCTTTCTACCAGGAAACATCAGTAGTTTGAAGGTCAGCAAAGCTTATTTGACAAAGTTCCTCACGCTTCTGAGACAAGAAATCCCAGCAGAATGAGGGGTAAATGTAAAGCAACCAGGGAAGTTAGCAGAACTCCACAAACACACTGGTACAGAGACACTTTTCCTTCCCAAGCAGAAAGAAAAGCACTATGACTGATGCTTTAAACAAACAATACCATAAATCCAGTTGTATAAATACTCTCAGCTGGCTTTGGTCCTAACACACATTCCTTCAGGCTGGGCACTGAGAGGATGTCCCCTGTCACAGTCCTCTGAGGTATCATGTGGTGGCATGATTTTAAAGCCTCTGTCAGTGGGCGGTGGGGCTGTCATGAGCTGCCAACAGTGTCCTCACTTTCCTCCTGTGCTCATAAAGGATGAATGACCAGTCATTGTATGATGTTTCCTGGGGTGGTGCAGCAAATAGAGCTCAGGCTGATGGGATGGACGGATGGATGGTGCAGTAAATAGAAAGACAAGAACCCTTGATCCTCAGTATATATAATTCATTTTGCATTTTGTTAAGTTAAAACTACAAACCTCAGTTTATTTTGTTGGGATTTTATGAAACAGAGCAACACAAGCTTAAAGCACAGCTGTCAAGTGGGCCGAAACTTTTACAGGCTTTTAAATATTGCTGATATTAATATTAAAAATCTGAAAAGTTTGATCTGCAAATAGCTGATATATCAGAGGGGGGAAATCCAGTGCCAAATACACTTAAAAGTGATACATACTTAAAAGTATACGTATATATACAAAAAAAACAAAATATTTTACCTTTTTTTTACTTGCATATTTATTTTTTAAATAAATATGCAAGTAATTGCATAATTACTTTGGTTCTAGCAAAGCAGAACCAAAGTAAAAGATGAATAAATCAGACTCTTAATTCTTCTCCTGCAGAAAATAATTTAAGTGCATAGAAAAAAATCTCTTTTACAGATATAAATACATTATCCCAAGTAAATTTAGTAAATAAAAATTATATAAATTAACTGTATTTTATCATTTATTTGGTTATTAAAACAACATTCCTCGCAAATGAAAGTCACTCTTTACGCTGATGCCAACGTGCAACCTCCGAAATCAAGCAACATGTAGAAACTGGAAGCAGATGTTATGTATGTGTGTTTTCCAAGTGGAGTATTAGTTCAATTTCTTCATCTTGGTTTATTGGTGCTACGTCTGTCTTTCACATTCAAATGAGTGAGCAGACTTGACAGAGCACAGGCAGATAAGCGCCATGATTTGGAAAGTTAAGACGTAGTACCCTTAAGAAACACCAAACTCAAAGAATACAGTGGACAACATCCAATTTGCATGCACTTCTTGATTAAATTTAACATGATCTAAGTTTAATCTCTTTCCCAATATAGGGGAATGGCACATAAACAAATTCTGACAATATTTCCTAGTACTGCCTCTTAGTGGTTTGTGTGCTTCTTCAAACTGTTGCACTTGTGAGAGTTTCTGTGACAATTTGATGAGCTCTGTTGACTTTAGTTGATTAGTTAGTTTGAAAACTCTGCTGTCAGAGATCCAGCAGCAGGCCCAGTTGCGTGTGATTCTTTGACTTTCAGCCACAAAATGAAAACCAGTCATTTGTGTGATCTTAACAGTGGGTCATTAAAAATAAAGCCAGGCTTTGAGCAAAGAGAGTGATGGTCAGTCCAGTATCCAAAAATGACAAGACTATGCCATAACTGCAAAAGGCTCAAAACTCAGTCGTTCACCAGAAATGACAGGATGGCCAAGGTTGACATTAATCAGAAAAGCAACCAAGAGGCCTTGGTGAATCCAAAAAAGGCTTGCAGAGATCTACAGCTGAAAAAAGCCATTTAAAACTCGTAGGGGACAAAAAATGGGGACAAAGTGTTCTCTTTTGATGAAAACAAAACTGAGCTTGTTAGAATCAGAGTTAATTGTACATAAGTCTAAACATTCCCACAGTGAAATATGGGGGAATGGCACCCAGGTTTCACAGGCAGAATCATCCAGGGGGGATGTTTTTCTTTAGCATGAATAAAGCTGAATATGTGGCCACACTGGAAGAAAATCTGTCAAATTTGTGCTTGAACAAAATATGAAACTGCAAAATGCTGTGAATACTTTATTATTGTATATCTCGCTCTCACAGTTCATTCCACAACCTTGACTATTATGAGGTGAAAGAGAGAGTCAAAACCATTGTAGACATAATGCCAACTGTGTAATTTCAAGACTTCTTGTGCATGATTGGGCTTTAATCTGCTCAGGGATTCAAATGAATCAGATTTGAGGTATAAAAAGAAGAAAAAAAAAGAAAAAAGAAAAAAGCACGTGAGCATGTGGATTTATTGCTCTGTGTTTGCTGATAACGTTACTCAGATTACAGTCGTCTGTAATCTCTCTTGGCAGCAAGAAGGTCGGACTCTGATCTCTTGTGATTGGTCAAATTGAAACTGGGATGAGACTAGACAAGAGATAAAACTTGCATCAACATTTTGGCGAGCTTAACATTCAGCTCCACGCTCAGACGCTGTTTTAAGACAGTAGGTCGTATTACAACGAGGTGACACGTGCTAATATGAAGCTCAAGCAAGAAAATGTACACACCACTCACACAACATCAGCAGGGCATTAGGGCAAACGTAATGGACTCCATACCATTACTTCAACAAGAAAATCCTGAGGACAGCGCCACCTGAAGGCCAAGCCATCTCACCAGGAGTCACACTGCTTGCAGTACAATGAGGCTGGTGGTAATTCACTCACCTCTCTATTCACATCAATATTTCCATTAAGTACTGTGAACTGATGCTCTCAGACCCTGGCTACTTAATCACATATGTGACAAATTGCAATTTTACAGAAAATAATTGCCAAGTCTGGGGAAAGCAAAGTGAATTTCACTCAGAATTGGAGGGTGGTTGGTGGGAGTTCTTCTTTCTTCAGCGAGCTGAGGAGAAGAAGAGAGGCACCCAGCTGCGTAAATTATTGCTCTGATCCGGCAAAGAGCTCTCTGACTCAACTGTGACTTTGTTAGGGACTAAAATCAGTTCTCCCTCCTGACCCACGAATAAAATAAAAGTTCAAACAGGAGGCAGTTCAGCTGGTAACTCCGTAAGAAACAACTGGGTGACTTTAGATTATCATGTACAAATTTGTTTATGATTGCTTTTATCTTTTGAATGTACATGTTCCAATTTCCAGACTCTGCTACTACATCTATGTTGCTAAATTTATTCCAGACTGTCTCTTTACATATGCAGTGTGCTTTCTGAAGGAGATTTTGCCCAGCAGATGATGTTATAGAGGTTTTATTGATGCTGACATGTCAGGAAAAAAGAATTTTGCAGGGTGACTTCTTTATATTCCCCCAGCACTGTCTGCACCATTCAATATCAACTGTATCTGTGGGAAAGTTCTGTCTTAGTGTGTGAACGTTTTACTTATTTTATGATATTTTATTTATGCCCAATAATTTATTTTTGTTTGTATGATTATTTGATGTCTTATAAAAGTAAATAGATTCTGACTGTGTTAATTATTGACATCAGATTTGGTTTAAATAACCATAAGTTAGCAATGATACTTCTCTTTGGGAAGGCGACTATAGAATATGTTGTAAAGTAATAAATTGCTTTAGCAATTATTGCTGAATGATGATAATTTCATTACTGGTTGTTGTTTCATTCCATTGTAACTAGTTTTGTCTTTATGCAAAGCAACATTCCTCCAGGATCTAAAAAGCATCCAACTTATCATGTTTGAAAAGTTGATGAATGACAGGTAATTCAAAACTTATTTGGTACTTTCGATGTTTGCATGTAATCTGGATTGTATTGCTGCAAAATTGTTGGTGTTGCCTTATTTGAATACCTCAATTCACAAAGTGAACAAAAGACAAAAGCCACAGTTACAGATCAGTGTTTTGGGACAGCCTTAACAAACCTCTTAACAATTAGATCTATTATATTCATACATATAGATAAGTTTTTAGAGCTACCAATTTTAACAGCTGTCATCTTTTTCCCATCACATTTTTCTTAAGATTTTTATTTCGTCAGCAATGTAGTCTGTTTACAAAGTTTATATGTCACTTTTGGCAGTTTGTGGGTTTGTTTGTAAAATGCTCATTATTCTGTCTAAATTATAGCCCGTAAACT